CCAGCTCACGTGACTGCAGGGATTCTGCAAGTGCCCCCTGAGTTGGACTCTGCACTGGGGTCCCTGTTGCACTTGACCACACCCGTCCTACAATGCCCGGCCCTCCATGACAGCCCTCGGGGAAGCCAACATTGATTTCTTTCTTTCTTTTTTTCCTTTGGAGAGAGTTATTGGTCTCCTGCGTGTGTGTGATCAAAACTGAATGGGAGATTGAAAAAGATCAAAACAAAACAAACCACAGCCAGCCGATCAATGACAGGACCTGGGGACGTGTCACCCGGCATGCTGGGAGTCGGAGGCGGCCGTGCTGAGCGCGTGGCCTTAAGCGCCCAGAACAGGCGCCCGGTGCCTCCCCTGCCAGCCCCAGAGGCATCTCCCGCTTCCCGTGCCACGAGTGCCCCGCAGAGGCCTCCCTCCTCCCACCACTGCTTCCCTGCACGCTCTGCCCGTGCCAGAGCTGCTTTTCTTGAAGGGCGATCTAGCCATCCAGCAGAAAATAGAGGTCTAATTATCAAAAGCAATGCCATCAGCACCTCGACAGCCCTGAGGACCTGCACCCTTGCGGTGCGGTGCGAAACAAACAGCCAGGGCTTCTCGGAACCCTGGATCCCTGGTATCTGGGGAAAAGACAACCTGACGAGTGCACTCTATGATCAAAGAAAGAGATATCAAAACAGAGGCCGAGGCTGGGTGCGGTGGCTCATGCCTGTCATCCCAGCACTTTGAGAGGTGGAGGTGGGGGTATTGGCTGAGCCCAGGGGTTTGAGACCAGACTGGGCAACTTGGCAAGACTGGGTCTCTACAATAAATAAAAAAAATTAGCCAGGTGTGGTGGAGTGCACCTGTATTCCCAGCTACTTGGAAGGCTGAGGTGGGAGGATCGCCTGAACCCAGCAGTTCGAAGCTTCAGAGAGCGTGCCACTGTGTTTCAGGCTGGGTGACAGAGTGAGACTCCAACTCAAAATAAATAAATAAATAAATAAAACAGTGGCCAAGAGGCACAGATACAGACAGAAGTCCAGACGGGCTTGCCCTCTGCAATACTTCCGGATCTCACCACAGCCTGCCTGGGTTTGTAAGGTGCTTTCCTGCTCTGCGTAGTAGGGTATGCAAGAGTGTAGGTGGGGAGGGTGCTGTTGGGGCTCAGTTGGGAGTGTGAGTGCCCGCTGCAGACAGGTGTCCCACAGAGCCACTGCCCACTTGCTCCCAAGACCTGGGACACGGTACGTGGCCTTTTTGCAGACAAGCATGAGGACACCGTCTTCTCATCAGCACAATAATATTATTATTATTACCAAGAACTTGACGCTAGAGGGTCACTGGGTGGATCAAGCCGGGTAGGGCACACAGCAGGCTGCACTATGGCCCTGTTTTGTAGACATTTTTGAGTTGGGGTCTCACTCTGCTGCTCAGGCAACATGACAATCATGATTCACTGCAGCCTTGACCTCCTGGGCTTAGACAATCCTTCCAATAAGGCTCCCAAGTCGCTAGGACTACAGGTGCATGCTGCCAGACCCAGCTAATTTTTCTGGTTTTGATTTTTTTTTGTTTTTGTTGTAGAGATGGGGTCTTACTACATTGCCTAGACTGGTCTCCAACTCCTGGGCTCAAGCAATTCTCCCGCCTTGGTCTCCCAAAGTGCTGGGATTACAGGCGTGAACCACCATGCCTGGTCCTCTTCTCTAACACTGATGAAGTTACTGACCATACCCAAGGGGCTCGGGATAGAGCCTGGCACACTGGACCTGCTGCACAAGTGTCTGCTATCATCATCTTGTTTTGTTTTTTTTTTTTGAGTTGGAGTCTCACTCTGTCCCCCAGACTGGAGTGCAGTGGCCGCTCCCGGCCACCGCAGCCTCGACCTGCTGGGCTCTGGCGATCCTTCCTTCTCAGCCTTCCAAGTGGCCGGAACTACAGGCGCGCGCTACCACGCCCGGCTAATTTTGTGATTTATTGTAGAGATGAGGTCTCGCCAAGATGCCCAGGCAGGTCGCGAACCCATGGGCTCAGGCAATCCACTCACCTCAGCCTCCCAAGGCGTGGGATTACAGGCTGAGCCACCGAACCTGGCATCATCTTGTTTTTATGTCTGTATTATTATTATTATTACCAACATCTGTGGCAAGAGGCCATTGATAATTTGGATAATTCAACCTTCAGGAAAAGGAATTTTGTAGGATCCTTATAAAAGAAACTGAATGACCTTAACACTGCTTGGATGACAGGAAAGTACTTTTTTTTTTTTTTAATTTTTATTTTTTTGAGTTGGAGTCTCACTCTGTCGCCCAGACAGGAGTGCACTGGTTGCTCCCGGCCACCGCAGCCTCGACCTGCTGGGCTCCGGCGATCCTTCTGCCTCAGCCTTCCAAGTAGCTGGAACTACAGGCGCGCGCTACCACGCCCGGCTAATTTTTTTATTTTATTGTAGAGATGAGGTCTCGCCAAGTTGCCCAGGCGGGTTTCAAACCCGCGGGCTTAGGCAATCCACTCACCTCGGCCTCCCAACCCGGGATTACAGGCCTCCCAACCCGGGATTACAGGCTGAGCCACCCAGCCTGGCAGAAAGTACTTTTAAATACTAAGCTGAGCTCATGGCTGCTTGTAAAAGGACATGAGCTTGGGAATGCTGCTCCCTTTTTTTTGAGTCAGGGTCTCACTCTGTCACCGAGGCTGGAGTGCAGTGGCACAATCACAGCTCACAGTAACCTCGACCTCCTGGTTTCAGGTGATCCTCCTGCCTCAGTCTTCTGAGGCGCACACCACCATGGCTGGCTAATTTTTTAATTTTTGTAGAGATGAGGTCTCACTATGTTGCCCAGGTTGGTCTCAAATTTCTGGGCTCAAGCAATCCTTTTGCTTTGGCCTCCCAAAGTGCTGGGATTGACAGGCGTGAGCCACCAGGCCCAGCCCGGTTCCCTTCTGATGTCTGATGTGAGTTAGCCAGAAGCAGACCAGAAAGACAGGGGCCAGATGTCACGCTTGAGAAGGGCCGCCCACGGTCAGAGCAGGCTATGAGCCTTGGAGTCCTAGAACTCCTGAACAGAGAGGGGTTTTCCAGGGTGGAGGCGGAGTCAGTTAGCCAAGTAAACAGTTAGAAAACTTCCAAGAATCAGCAGTCACGATTCAGAAAATAGGACAAAAACAACTTTCTCCCCGACAAATCCCCGACCCCAGTGGCGTCTCAGGTCTGCAGTCGGGTCCCTGCTCTCAGGCGGTGAGGAGACCCCTCCCGTGGGAGGCTGGTGGATCAAGACAGACGGAAGGGCTCTGGCAAGCCTATGTCCTTGTCCCCACCCATCCATCTTCCCGAAAGGTGGGGGTGTGCCAGAAGCACAGAACCACTTCATGTTTTAAATATGAGGGATTGTGTTGAAATGGCAGAAATCATGAAGGCGGCAAAGAGATCAGAAATCTCAGGGGAGAGAGAGAGAGCACACAATCGCCGTTTCCATTTAAAATGCCCCAGATAAAGATCGAAGGACCTCACATTTCTAAGCCCCTTGCTCAACTGGCCCACAGGAAGAGTTGAGGATTTTTTTTTTTTTTTTGAGTTGGAGTCTCGCTCTGTCGCCCAGACTGGAGTACAGCGGCCGCTCCCGGCCACTGCAGCCTCGACCTGCTGGGCTCCAGCGATCCTTCCGCCTCAGTCTTCCGAGTCGCCGGAAGTACAGGCACCCGCTACCACGCCCGGCTGATTTTTTTGATTTATTGTAGAGATGAGGTCTCGCCTACCCAGGCGGGTCTCGAACCTGCGGGCTCAGGCAATCCACTCACCTCAGCCTCGATTTTTTTTTTTTTTTAAAGACAAGGCCTCGCTCTGTTGCCAGGCTGGAGTTCAATAGTATGATCACAGCTCATTGCAGCCTCGACCTCCTGGGCTTAAGCGATCCTCCTGCCTTAGCCCCCAGAGTAACTGGGACTACAGAAGCATGCCACTATGCTCAGCTAATTCATTTTTTTTTTTTTTTGGTAGAATCGGGGTGTTGTTATGTTGCTCAGACTGGTCTCGAACTCCTGGCCTCAAGCAATCCTCCCTCCTCAGCCTCCCAAAATGCTGGGATTACGGGCATATGCCACTGTGCCCAGCTGAGGTTTTCTAAGTGTTTATTTTTTCTCAGTGTCTTTAAAACCTTTGAAGGAAAGGGAGGAGTTGGGCGAGAAACACCCAGACTGCTGAGCTGCCCACTCTGGCTGCCAAGAGTTGGATTTGCAAATCCCCAAAGAACAATGTCGCCCACACAGCCTCCCTACTCCACCCAGATCCTTTGGGGAGTTTTTCCTTTGGAGGCTGGAAACCAGTGCTGTCTGATGTCCAGGGTGGGTCTAGGACCAGAGGCTGAGAAGGGCCAGGCACCATCTCCTTTCACCTCCCCTTTCACATTTCAAAGGGGCTCCAGCGACAAGTGTCAGGCCCCTGGATCAAGGCGATACGGTGCTTGCTTCTCTCTCTTTTTCTGAGGTTTTACTCAGGGGGGAAAAGCCTAGAAAAAGAGAACATGGCCTCTTTCCTAAATCAAAAAGGAACACGCGTTTCCATCAGCCATGAAAGGAATGGCAAATGAGATACAAATGAGATGTCGTTAAAACAAGAAAGGTCTCATGGATCCTCTTCCTGAAAGGAGGGGCCAGGATGGGAGAAGTCTGGGTCGGTTTGGAGGCGGAAGGGATGGACTCCAGCCCCAGCCCAGCCCGGCCCTGTCCACTGGGCCACGGGAGGAGCCTTGAGGGGGTCTGCAGACTCCAACACTCATCACCATCATCCTCACAACACGCCCTACCCTGTGGCCTGCAACTCTGGGTCAGCAGGGGGGCTTTAGCGAGGGACTGGCCCCCCATCCAGTCCTCCCAGGAACCAATGCCCTGGGACACCAGGCTCTCCCCTCCACTGCCCCTGCAGGGGTCTGCCTAGAGGGTGGGCCAGATACCCGGGAGATGAGGCCCCCCCCAGGATCCCGTGCGCCCAAATGACCCCCATTGTGAGGTAAGGAGACACTCACCCGGTTGTCGCCTTCTGGGGCTAGAGGGTCTGTCATCCAGGACCCAAACCTTGAGCCAGAGGTCTTGACGGTCACAGGGTCACTTATGCCCGTCAACTTCCCACACGCTGGAAAAGAGCACACACGTCAGGAAAGGGAGTGGATGGGCCTCACCCTGGTCGCCTGGGACCCCGCGGCAGCCTCCTCCCTTTAGGGGCTGGGCTGCTCCGTCCTTGTTCTCAAAGCGGTTAGGGAAGACACCCCTCCCCAAGACAGAGCAACTGAGGCCAGGACAGCAGGGAGGAGCCACAGGTACCCCTGCCCGATGACCTGGGGAGGTGAGCGCCAGGGGCACCAGGGCACCAGCCTTGCCAAGACTCAGTTTCCTCCTCTGGGCAATAGGTACAGCCGCAGCTCGACCCCAAAGGCGTCAGAGGTAAAGCCTTGACACAGGTGCATGGGCTCACCATGAGACACTGCCCTGGGCAGAACTTTTCCCATGAAGTGGCAACAATGCCACCCCCGCAACCTGAGACCTGGCGCTTCACTACAGATGCATTTGCTCACTGTGCAGCCCTTGTCCATTAGGACTGACCCAGGAACAAGGCCAGGGCTACCTCCCTGCTTGGAGAGCCTGTCTGTTTATCCCAGCAGGTGGGAGAAAGTCTCTTCTGTCTGCGGGAGGAGCCCTGGCTGGAGGGCCGGTATTATGAGCACAGGATGGGTGGGCTCCTGGATGGGACCTCAGCCCCCTCCCGCCTTGCAGATGCCAGTGGAGACAGAGCCCCCACAGCCCAGGGTGGCCACCACACCCACTGTGCAGAAACCCACCCCTCCCACCCAGAGGCCGGCACTTCTGCAAATCCACAGAACTCTCCAGAGCATGCAAATCTCAGCCGCTCCCGGCAACGCTTGTGATTCTCCCGGATGGGAAGTGGGCAGCTTCCTTGCAGTATGGCCTTCAAAGACCCTTTGGCTGGGTGTCCTCTGCACCCTGCTCCCTGTTCCTGCAGGCCAGGCCTGCATGTCGCCTCCTACATCTGTGTGGCACCCACGGCAGTGCCACATGAGTGTATGTGCACAGAAGTCGGTCTGCAAAGTTCACAGGAGATCTGGATGCTTGTGCAAGATTGTCGGGGCCTTAACCTGGGGACCGCCGCGGTTGAGCCCAGATAATCCCACAACAAGAGGAGGGTGGCTCAGGCATATGGCTGGCCCTGGGGAGGGGCAGTCTGGCCCGCTCAGCTCAGGTCTCAGGGCACCTCCCACTCTCCCCAAACTAGAAGCAGGCGAGTGTGCCCTCATGCAAGACTGGAAGGATGAGCGCTCTGGCCCAGCCCAGAGCCTGGTGCCTCTGGCTCTCTGGCTGGCAGAAGATTGCCTGCCAGCAGAAGATTTGAGGGCTTGGAAGCCCCCTGCAAGCAGAATAAAGATCAGGTTTGCACCCACATTCCCAACGAGGCAGGTGGCCTGCACCAATGTCTCTGTGGCCTGGCTCCCAGGCTGCTGCCTCCAGCCAGACTAGACAAAGAAATGCCACAATCCCCTCCTTTCTCTGTCCCTTCTCATGGCTAGAGGCTTCTCAGTAGCGGTGGGTCACAGAGGCTGTCAGGGTCATGGTTTGACTCAACACAAGTTTGCTGGGCCGCTGTCCACATCGACCCCCTCCTGTCTGCGGGGAAGAATGGGACAGAGAGGACACGGTCAAGGTCAACCTGCATCTACAAGGACTAGAAGTACAAGAATGTGGGTGGGTCTGGGAAATCTCATCTCATGAGAAATTCCTTTTCCAGGAGAGTGTAGATCAGACTTAACTCTTGGGGTTCGGGGTAGGGATTTGCTAAGGACGTCTCCATCTGGGGAAAGGGAGGATAGGGAAACAGGAGTCTCTACTCCTCACCTTCCAGCTGCTTCTTTCTTTGTTCCTATTGTCCTGGGGGCCCTGGGCTGCCCAAGGAGGCAGCGGCTTCTCGGGAACTTGGGAAGAAACTGGGAGAAGTCCATCAACAGCCCTCCTCCCGGCCCTCCCTACTATCCAGAAACCAGCATCCTCCAGCTGCACCATGCCTCCTGGGAATTTCTCGGGAAGGGCTCCCCACAGAAGTCCAAAGGAACCATTGACCCAAAGGGTTTTGGCGATGCTTGGGTGGACAGTCTGCTGGGTTGTTTTCTTTTCTCTCTCTCTTTTTTTTTTTTCCTAGTCAGGGTCACCCAGGCTGGAGTGCAGCCTTGACTTCCTGGTCTCAAGCAATCCTTCTGCCTCAGCCTCCTGACTAGTTGGGACCATAGGCGTGCACTATCATGTCCGACTAATGAGAGATGGGATCTTGCTATGTTGCCCAGGCTGGTCTTGAACTCCTGGGGTCAAGCAATCCTCCTGCCTCGACCTCCCAAAATGCTGAGATTACAGATGTGAGCCACTGTACCTGGCCTGAGTCAGCAGCATAGTTTACATTGCTCAGCCAACACTGGATCATCCAGGACATTGACTCATGCTAAAGCTTGGTCCTACACCCCAGCTGGATAACCTCTGAAGAAGGCCCAACGTCTGCCCTCTGCACCACATTCAGATGGAAGGGGTGGCAGCTCAGCCCCCGACTCAGCCCTAACGCCTGGCCCTGAGCCCGGCACTCCCAGGCCACACACCTTTGCTCCAGCTGTTCTTGCCACCTGGATGGCTGTCTGCACCCCACCTTCCTGCCAGCTTGACCCAAACTGACGCTTCTTCCCTAAGGATACCTTGTCCACCTCCCATCTATCCTTACTGACCAAAGCTGGTGACCTCACATTCTCTGGGGCTGCTGGGTGTCTGGGTCTTACTGACCTAGGTAAGAAGCTTCTTGCACTCACCCTGTTTCCCCTAGAGCTCAGTCTGGGGATTTGCACACAATTGACTGAATGAATGAGTCATCTTGGAGAATTCTCCTAAGTCTAAACCTTTGCTATCTGTTCCGCCCAGGAGATGATAGGGAAAGGAGGGTGGCTCTCTTGTGAGAGCAGTGCCTGGACCCAGAGGCGAGGCTACCTGTCTAGGGGATGCTCTGTATCCTCTCTTCTTATCTAGAAATGGGATAATGCTCATGGAGCAACTACGAGAATCAGGGCAGTTAACCAAAGGAGAGTGTCCAGAACAACGTCGGACACAGGCAGCACTCCGCAGAGGTCAGACACAACTGTCATCGTGGACTCGGACTAAGAATGTGCAGAAAAGGGGTGTCATCTTCGGCCAAGTCCAGTCGGGACAGCCTTGGATCCATCTACTCCATCCTGTCCACCTGGACCTTTCGGCTGCCCCGTGTGGATCTCTGTATCTCTTGATGGATGCTTGGACTGTTTCCGCATTTTGGCTATTGTGAGCAAAGCTGCTAGGAACCCGGGTGTGCAAATATCTGACCCAGTCCTGCTCCGTTCCTTTGGGAAAATACCCAGAGATGGAACTTCTGGGTCATATGGTTGCATAATTCTATTATTATCATTAAGCCAGAATCTCACTCTGTTACCCAGGCTGGAATGCAGTGGCACGATTAGGGCCACTGTAGTAGTGACCTCCTGGACTCAGATGATGCCCCCACCTCACCCTCCTGAGTAGCTGGGACTACAGGCATGTGTCACCAAGCCTGGGAAATTTTTTCCTTTTTTTTTGGTGGAGATGAGGTCTTGCTATGTTGTCCAGGCTGGTCTTAAACTGCTGGGTTCAAGCAATCCTCCCACTTTAGCCTCCCAAAGTGGCCCTTAAAATCCCCTCTTAGAGCCGGCCCAGAAGGGTGGGGCTGGCTGTGCCCTGCCCTTCAAGCTGCTGGCTGCAGGCAGGCTCCAGGGCCCTCGGGGCCGCAGGCCGCCTGCCCTCCTTGAGGCAGGGAGTTATTTTTGGTTCTCCATCCAGACCGATTCTGCCAAGACCTCGGGAACTGACAGGATCTAAAAAAGCCCACGGCAGAGCTCGGCGGAATCTTGGCACATCCAGTTCAGGAAAGTGTCCCTCTGTAGTCACGAGCACTCAGGATGCACGCACAGGGAGGGAAGGGGGGAGGGTTGGCGGGCTCCCCGCACCGACTTGTAGGCTCAGGATGTGGCCTGCACAGGCTTCTTTTCAGAGGAGGCTGAGTAGGGAAGTCCTGGTCTTCGTGAGGGTCCCGGATGGGCCCCCAGGAACCAGAATGTCCTACTTGCTGGGAGCCTGGGTAAGCCGACACCCCCATGGATGAAATAATCTGTCTCTTTCTCCTCCCGGGAGGAGGCCACTCTGAGCAGCAGAACCCCAGAGCAGGCCCAGGGAGCCCACCGAGGAAATCAGGCCAGAGAAGGGGTCTTGGAGCAATCTTGGGACCAGGGAGGGGGGCTGAATGCCCCCACAGGTTCCGGCCGGTGGCCTGGCCTCTAAGCCTAGCTCCCTTGCTTGAAACTTTCACCCTCAAACCTGGGAAGAATTAAGCTGGAAGACGTTTGCAAAGTCGGGAGCTTGGACAAACACACATCCAAGATGCAGATTAAGTAAACCCAGAACCAAGCAGCCTCAGTCCCCTGCTGGCCCTGGGCCTCATAAGCGGACCCAGAGCCTGGAGTGGAGTAGCCACTAAGAAAAGAGCCATCTGGTACACTCCTGTTACCTTCGCATGTGGACTGTGCCCCCAGGAGACCTCTTACCACATGCAATCCTGAGGACTTCCTGGAAGGAGCCTAGGAAGGAAGGCCTCTGGCTCTGCCTAGACCCCACTAAGTCAGTGTTTAGGTTTGGGCTCATTCCCTACCCCACCATCCTAGTGGGGTCTCCTACAGACTGAGGCATCACCTTGCAAGGGCTTGATGTTCCATGCTTGATGGAACACACCCAGCCATGTGCCCTGGCCAGTGACGCCCTGTCTAGCACCACTGGGGGCGCTGGGTGGGAGGAGAGGGCTAGTCTCTGCATGGTGGATCCTTCCTAACATCTCAAGGGTTAGGGAAGGAGGAGGCTTCAGACTTGTCTCCCCCCAGAGTAGAGTGTAGGGCCTGGTGCCAGAGCCAAGCACAGTGCCTTGACACCCCCAAACTGGGGCAGGAGCCTGTAATCAGACTTCTGTCAGCATGGATGTGAGGGTGGGCCTGGTTCCCAACAGTTGTCGGGGGATTCTTAAACCAGAGCCAGCAGGCTTTGAGATGTATTCTCTCTCAGTGAAGCAGAAAGACTCCCAACGGACGCTGGGGCCAGAGCCTGCCCTGTGCTTAACGGTGTCCGGGGACTTTCTTTTTTAAAAAAGAAACTAAGGAAGCCTTTGGCATTGGAGTGCCCAGATGGCATCACTGCGAACAGCCCTAGGAATCAGCCGCCCTCCTTTATAGAGAGGACCACCGAGGTCTGGGCAGCCAGCAGGATGTGCTGGCTTCACAGAGCAAAGGCCAGCCTCCCCGGCAGTCTGCCAGCAGGGAGACCAGCTGCTAGGAGGGTCTTGAGTTGGGTGCCCATTTGCAAGACTAACACGAGCTAGGTTAAGTAATTACAGGGTATTAATTTGCTCCTTAACGTGCCTGAGTCCGTGGGTATGAGCGGAGTTTCACACTGGGTCTTTGCTCAGTGGATGGAGATCTGACTCCCTCTCTCCAGGGAGAGGTGGGCCCTGTGCTCCAGCTCAGGGGACCAGGGCAGGGTCACTGGCAGCACTGCCTCTCCCCTTGCCTGCCATCAAGACTTATACCAGGCAACCATGAGACACTGTCTGCTTCCTGGCAGAGGATGCCCGAGAGGTGCTGGGCTCAATCTCCAATTCTAGAGAGAAGAGTTTCAGATTCAGGTTTCTGACTGGGCCATTAGGAGAAACAGACAATCCTATCGAGAGACAGATGTTCAGAAATGAACATGGGAAAGCTGGTGGCCCTGTTTTGTGCTTTGTTTGTTTCTGTGTGTGTCTTGGAGTCAGGAACTGTCAGCGACAGTGGCTTGTAGAGAAGGCGATGGCAAGGAGACAACTAATTAGGAGGATTTTGGAGGGCCACTGGAAGACCCTCTCCTCCCTCGTCACCCTGGGAGGAAGCCGAAGCCCTGGTCACTAGACAGGGAGCCTGTAATCAGACCTCATAGCAGCTGGAGCGGCAGGAACACCAAGGAGCCATAGAGTTGAGGGACAAGGGAGGAAACTGCCCACTACTGGGACACCACGTCTCACAAATGTCCCACCCATCCCAGACAGTCAGCAGGGTGTGTCCTCTCCACATAGCAGAGGCCAGCCTCCCTGACAGTCTCCCAGCGGGGAGATCGGCTGCTAGAAGGGTCCTGAGATAGGTGCCCACTTGCAAGGCTAACACAAGCTAAGTTAAGTAGCTACAAGACATTCATTTGGCTCTTAAGTTACTGAGCTTGAGCAAAAGCTTGGAAAGAGGGAGGAGGAAGAGTAGCAGCTGCTAAATTTCTGTGTCTATCAATCATTAATCAATCAATCACCTGTCAATCAATCAATCACCAACTAGCCAGCTACCTATACATTAATCAATCATCTGTCATCTACCCTTTGTCCACCTGCCCACCACCACCTCCTCTGCGGTCTCTCTCTCCATCTACCCACCTGCCCATCCTCACCTCCCCTGTGGCCTGTCCATCCACCTACCTGCCCACCTCCTCTGTGGCCTCTCTGTCCACCTAACTACCTGCCCACCACCTCTGTGGCCTCTGTGTCCATCTACCTACCTGCCCATTGCCACATCCTCTGGGGCCTCTCTGACCATTTATCTACCTGCTCATCTCTTCTGTGGCCTCTCTACCCATCTACCTCCTTGCCCACCTGCGCACCGCCACCTCCTCTGTGCAGGGCACAGTGATAGGCCTGGGATATGAATGGCTTCTGTGAATTATCATTCTATGAACCGCCCGGAGCCCAGGGACTCCCTGCAGCATTTTACAGATGAGGAGGCGGCTGAAACTCGAGCTGGTAAATGCCTTGGGAGTGGAGCAGCTATGGAGTGGCACTTACTACCTTACAGAAGTGCCTCCCCCAGACAGGGTGGGGGAGCTCCGTTTGCAGGGAGCTGGGACCAGCTGGGTGCGGCTCTGTGCAGATGCCAGGCCCCACCCGCAGACACTGACTCAGCGGCCCTTCCTACATGGCCCAGCCCTTCCGGAGAAAGAATTAAACACAGGGGTGAAGCCAGGCAGCTGTACTCCGACGGTAGGGAGAAACACACCTCTGGGGGCCTGTTGACCCTCCCTCTTTACTACCAAATTGATGATGTTCAAAGCCCCAGAGTAACCATGGAGAGACTCAAGATCTTAGGCCATAAGGTAACCTCACCCAGCTACTAAAAATAGGCCAGGCACAGATGGGAAGGCTGGCTTGCCTGGGAGGGGCCGTGCCCCCCCCTAGAAGGGCCGTGTCTTCTCGACATTTGCAACTTGATACTCCAAATTCCTATTTTGCTCCCTTGCCTCCGGGGTTGGAAAGTGTGGAGGCCTTCCTGTACACCCAGTCTGTATACCAGGGAGGGAAGGCACTGCCTGGGAGGAAAAAAATAACAGGAAACAACCCTGGATTCTTCAACTGGATTTTTCAGAGGGAAACCCAGGTGGGCGTGTTTGGAGGGTCTGGAGAGGGAGGGGTGGTGGTGAATCAGGGTCATTATGGTAGAAACCCAAAGACAGTGCCCAAGGATCACCACAATTACTGATATAGCCTTGCAATCACTCATGATTCAGACATTCACACTGACTCCAGGAAAGTCCACATGGGAGAGGTAGTAGTGACATTGGGCCCTGCCCTCCTGGGACCATCTGCTGCCGCCTGACCTGGACACTCCGGGGAAGAATGCAACCGGCACCCCCAGCAGACACAGGCAGCGTGGACACATCAAAATGGGCTTGTTCTCCAACTCCCCAAAATCTTACTGTCTCCACTTTAGGACCTGGAAGCTTAAGACTTGACTTCACAGAGAGCACCTGGACAGCATTTGAAAATCCCTGGCAGTGGGAGCATGGCCAAACAGAAGGGTTAGGTAGTCTCTGTCTTCCCCTGGGCATTCTTCTCTCTTCTACCTGCCTGACTACACTGGAGTGTATTTAAAGTGCTTGCTCTTTTTGAATGTTTTAAGCTTAATAAGGCATTTGGAAGGGTGTGTGTGTGTATGTGTGTGTGTGTGTGTGTGTGTGTGTGAGAGAGAAAGATGGAGAGAGACAGAAGGAGGGATAAAGAGAGAGAGAGAATGTGTGTGTGTGTGTGTGTGTGTGTGTGTGTGTGTGTGAGAGAGACAGAGAGAGATAGAGACAGAGAAAAAAGTAGAGAGAACAGAGAGAGATGGAGAGAGAGAGAGAAAATGTGTGTGTGTGTGTGTGTGTGTGTGTGTGTAGGGGGGTAAAAAGGCAACCAAGCCCAAGGAAAGTGTCTTCATAAGGCAAAATTATTCTAAAAGTTACCCCCCAAAGTATACAGTATGAAAATAAACCATTTTTGTGTTAGAAAACAGCTGGTGAGGAGGGATAGCTAATATTTATTAGGAAAACCTAAAAATGGAGTTGGAATTTGAAATGTGCTGTTTAAAAGTGGACTCAGGTCAGGTGCAGTGACTCACACCTGTCATCCCAGCACTTTGGGAAGCTGAGGCAGGAGGATTGCTTGGGCCTGGGAGTTTGAGTCCAGCCTAGGCAATAACATAATGAGATCTTGTCACCACAAAAAATTTTTTAAAAATTAGCCGGGCATGGTGGCACAGGCCTGCAGTCCCAGCTATTTGGGAGGTTGAGGTGAAAGGACTGGCTGAGCCCAGCAGGTTGAGGCTGTGGTAGCCGTGATTGTACCACTGTACTCCAGCCTGGGTGACAGAGTAAAACCCCAACTTAAAAAAAAAAATGGTCTCAGAGACTGACATGTTAAGATTTGTCAAAGTAATTAACTGGAAAGTTGATAAGGTAAATAGATAATCGATCATGAGGGAGAATTCAAATAGGTCACCCAAAACTGAGGGTCCTTTTTAGAAGACACACACCTGAGTAAGGGGCTCATTGACTCACGGGCACCTCTCCTTCCAGGCTGTTTGTTGGGGTGGGGGGAGGAATGCTGTGAGTGGCAAATCTACTGTGACGTGATTGAGTTTTCTTTTTTAAATGAAATTACTCAGGATGTAATATTCCAAGACACTTCCTCAGACCTTGTTCTCAGCCTGGAGGAATCTGAGATGTGTATTTCCAGCTCATTCAACTCGTGCCTTAAACACACACCTGTGCAGCACACACACACATCCACCAGATGATAGGCAACGTCTACCATCCTTGTTTCCAGACATGCGACTCAACGGGGTCCGTGAACCGGCCTGTGCACAGGACTCAGCTGTGAGCAGTGTCCTAGGATGGTTACAGCCTAAATCCTCTTCCACTCTCTCTCAAGGGAGCCCTGCCCAGGAGCCCTAGTCCAGCCCTGGCCTCCGGAAACCAGACGGGCGCTGTCCGCTTCAGCACCACTCCTCAAATCCATTCCTGACCTTTGGAAGCAGGGGCGCTGTCCTCTTCAGCACCACTCCCTAATCCAGTCCTGAGCTAAGGAACCCGAGGCGCTGTCCGCTTCAGCACCACTCCCTAATCCAGCCCTCGCCTCGGGAAGCCAGGAACGCTATCCGCTTCAGCACCACTCCCTAAACCTGCGCGTGCGCGGGAGACAGGCCGTGCAGTGCCGCGCCCCGCGGGGTGCTGGGCCTACCTAGTTTTTGCATGCATGCACGGAGCCTTTCTTCAAGATTGGACACTCTGCTCTGAAGTTCATCGTAGTCATAGGCGCCAATTTCCTCTTGCAGCTCGTTAAGCACTGACGTCAGATTCTGGGCCTCCTCTTTAAACTGCAATACCAATTTGGCATCGGCCTTGTACTCTTCCAACACAGGTATCAAAGGCCTAAGTTCATCCATTTTCGCTTTTATCGCCTGCAAGGTTAAAATAAGCTAGTTCAGTGCGATGCATGCAAGAACTCTCACACCCTGCCTTGGCCTGGCTTCTCCCTACGGGAGGGAAGATGTGTTTTTCCAGATGTGCGGCTCACTGGGGTCTGTGAACTGGGCTGGGAACCATGCCCTGGGATGAGTGAGGGAGTAGCCTGCTTTCCTTAGAGATTTATTTACCCTGGTCCAAATGAGTCAGAAGAGCATATGAAACAGTCCTCAGAACACCAACATATTTGGGAAAGGTCTTTATTGTCAGTTTCGAATGCAACATCTTAAGGTTACATGCTTTGAGTCACATACACGAAGTTCTTTTTTTTTCTTTCTTTTTCAAAAAAATGCATTGACAAGGGTTCAAAACTATTCATGAAATGCATCTACAGTCGCATGCAAAAGAGGATCCTGGTTGTATTCAAGGTTCCTTAGTGATATGGTGCTAAGTATTGGAAAATAAGAGTAAAAATGCATGGTGCAAAAAGCTCTCTGGCTCTCTTTCATGGTTACATGGGAGTGGACTGCTTCTTCAGTCACTGCAGCATTGAAAAAACTCTTTTAAGTTAGCCCTGCAAGCAAGAAAATGAAATACTGTTGAAGAACTAGCTCACTAGCTTGCTGCCTTAAACAGATAGCCATTTATAAACAAATATTTGCATGGTCACTTTTTTAAAAAAAATCACACTTTAATGCTAGCATTAGGCAAAGCAGACTGCTTTAACAGTTATTTAGATTCCCTCAGAACAATTTCTGTCGGGATTTTTAAATGTGATTAAGCACGGTAAAGGTGAGGGCTTGCCTTTCTTTCCCCAGAGGCGTAATGCCCCAAGTTTTGGAACTCAGAGGGATGCCTGTGTGGACAGCGCTTGTGAGATGGACTACCTCCTGGCTGCTGGAGGCACCCCATCTTAGAGGAGTCTGTTGGCCACAGAGAAGGGTGTGCCAGCCCTTCAAGGAGAGACACAAACTCCTTTGGGTTGGACAGGTCAAAATCACTCTCCAAGATAACTCACGATGACATGTCAGAAAGCAAGGACAAAATGTCTACCTGCCTCCAACAAGAGCAATCGGCTCATCTCACCTCGACAGGATCAGGCCTGCATTATTTTATTTATAATATAGATTTATAACGTCATTAGCTTGCCACTTTTTCTGTTTAATGCATCATTTTAAAGAGAGAATTAGTTCTTGCTTCTTGCAGGGAGCACATCAAAGAAAAACATTAGCATAAAAAAGACAGGACAGGAAGACAGAGGAAACACATCAGCAGTTTCCAGCCAGGCGAGGCGGTGTAATTTGACCTGTTCATTTACATCTGGGTTAGATATCTAATTAAAATGCATGTATACCTTAATTAAGGTGGCATATAATTTCTCAACCTCGTCGCTTTGAAACTGAGTCAATTGTAGACATATATATACATATTCGTGCATATGTATATATAATTTTCAGTCAAATAAACTTCGGTTTTAATGCCCAGAGGCTCTGGAGAAGTAGAACACTTACCACGAGGTGGAAAAGATGTTGGTGTCTCTCTCTCTTTTCCCTGCAAGTCTACAGCTTGTCATGGCTAGATTAGGTCAGATGTGAAAAATTGCCCTGCGAGATTCCTGCCCAGAAATGGCTCTCATCAATTAAGCTAATCCTCAGCTAATGTGATTTACCTGCAGCAGCTGTGGAACGACAAGGGCCAAGAACGATGTCCCTCTTATTGGAGCTGGCTAGAGAGGCGTGGGACCTGGGCCCCCTGGCTTCCAAGCCAGGTCGACGGGGCCTGCGGCGCTAACATGTGCTGAGACTACCGCCCAGGCTCGCCCTTTCCATGGGGCCTTTTGCCAAAGCGGGGCAGGGGGGCGGCGGTCCTCTGTAAGGCACCGAGCGATCCTTGCTGGGCCCCTCCCAACCCCAAGTGACTATTTCTTTAGGGAGAGGGGAAGCATGAAGGGAAAACAAACCCAGCCTTGGAGGAGGATGAGAAGGGGGGGAGGAAGGGCAGGAGGAGCCAAAGGGGAGGCTGCAGCATACCTTGAACTGCCTGGCCAGGTGTTGCTTATGGCTCTCCTCCACCTGTCTGAACTTGGACTCCAGTCCCTTCATTTGGTTCTCCATCTTCTCCACGTACTGCAAGTCTCTCTGGGTCCGCCTGTCCAAGACCTCTATGGATTGAGACATGTTTTGCACCTGTCAAGAGAGCAACAGGTTCAAGGAAAGAGCGGTAGAAGGTGCCAGACGGTCCCATTTGCCGTGCGCGCCCAATGCCGACCTCTCCCGCCAGGCCAACACACCGGGAGCCGGAGGTGGCCCGTGCCTTATTTACTAGCCAACCGCCAGCACTGGGGACTGACAGGACGGGCCACCTCCAAACAGAGCAAAACAGTTTGGTAACCATTCCCTCTGCCATCTTCTACAAGGTCTTACAGTCGGGTTGCAGATCAAGACCCTTTAGTTCCTCAAGGTCATAGCTCCGGGCGTAGGACTTTGGGTCTCCTAGCCTCATGTGATCCTCCCACCTCGGCCTCCCAAAGTGCTAAGATTATAGGCGTGCACTGTACCCAGCTCCTTTTCCCTTTTTTGGGGAGTGGGGATTGGTTCTAGGATCTTCATGCCACAGGACAGCATCCATTAGGCAGCATAAAGACCAACAGAGACAACTGGTGTTCTCGGGCTGCCCCACCCCCAGAGATAAATCCTCTTCCTCCCTAAATCTCACTGAGTGCCTTGCTGAGAAGGTTGATTGCTTAAGTGCAGAATGAAGGAACGAGGGAACGGCTCTCCCTGACTCTGCAAGGAGCATTTTCCCCCCATCCTGCCTGCCATCCATCACACCCACAGTATCATAGGTGGATGACTGCTCCACAAACATGTACATTCCGAGCGTCAAGTCAGGAATCAATCACCCAGCAAATGAAGGATCGCTGTTTTACATCTTTACAGGCAGATCGGAATTGAGTCTAGCCTCAAGATGGAACTTTAATATTCAACAGGATTCCGGAGAGCTTAAAAGAAAAACAGTTTTAGTGCAGCCACCTGCCAGTGCATTTTATTTTCAGGAAACCGGCGGCGCCTCCGCGCAAATGCATTCGGGGCTGTGGGGAGGCGGAACGGAGCTGAAGGCTGCCGCAGTGGTGTTCGGGTCATTTTCTCAGACTCTAATCCAATTACCAGGGAGGAAGAGGCCTCCATGACAGCAAATCTTCATTTCTGATTTTTTTGCTGAATGTGAAAATACTCTCCCTTCTAGGAACAGAATCACCGGGAGGAGGCTTAGCTCGGGTGCCCGGTCAGTGATAAGAAGAAATGAGCGGGTTCGAGACCCGCCCGGGCAACTTGGCGAGACCTCATCTCTACAATAAATCAAAAAATTAGCCAGGCGTGGTAGCGCGTGCCTGTAGTTCCAGCTCCTTGGAAGGCTGAGGTGGAAGGATCGCCGGAGCCCAGCGGGTCGAGGCTGCGGTGGCCGGGAGCGGCCACTGCACTCCAGTCTGGGCGACAGAGTGAGACTCCAACTCAAAAAAAAAAAGAAGAAATGATAGTGTGGTTTCTACTTCGTCACGGACATCTTCCGACCCAGCAAGTAAAATAAAATTTTTTTTAAAAAAGAGTGCAACCAAAAGTCTTCTCAGTGGGAGAAAGCCCAATGCTACTAATCTCAGCACTTAAAAATGCATGGAATTTTGTGTCTTGTTCTTTGAAAGTAACACACACCAGTTCATTTTAAAATCTCAAGTTGTTAAAACACAATATGGGGGTGATTCTCTCTCTGATCCCTTCTCTTTAGACATTCCATGGAAAGGGAAATCGATTTGCTCTCTTGTCTTTTGTCTCCTTGCTCCCCTCACCTGTCTTATTCTGTCTTTTTGCATAACCACAGCAATTCTTTAAAGACAAGCTGAAAAGTCGGGTTTCATTCATCCTTCAGGGTCCAGCCCAAATGCCACCTCCTCCAGGGAGGTCTCCTGTGCTGAGCCAGAAGGGACTGCACACTATTGGAAACTACACCATCACCTTGTTGGCACAATGCCTGCAGGAGAAAGTCACACACCTGCCTCACCTAGCGTGGTGGGCGGGACCCTCATGGAGGGAAGGGGACTGGATCTCAGGCACATCTGTCACTCATACACAAAGTCCAGTATATCTATGCACAACTGTGGCCCCTGCAGGCACACACATGGCAGGGAGGGGGAGGCAATAACACAGTCAAGACCCCTCTTCCCATTCTCCACGTCCCCAAGGGGACAGAACTCCTGATGGCAAATCCACAAGATCAGATCAAGAGTTAATACGCAGCTTTGGTCAGAAGCTCACACACAGTGCAATGGGCTCTGCCTCAGAGAATGAATGACTTTAAAAAGCACATTTTAAAGACACCAAGCTGACTGGATGTGGTGGCTCATGCCTGAATCCCAACAGTTTGGGAGGCTGAGGCGGGAGGATCACCTGAGCCCAGGAGGTCAAGACCAGCCTGGGTAGCATATATTTTTTTCTGCCAAAAAAAAAAAAAAAAAAAATTAGCCAGGTGTGATGGCATGCAACTGTAATCCCAGCTATTTGGGAGGATTGCCTGAGCCCAGGAAGTCGAGGTTGCAGTGAGCCATGATCTTGCCACTGTATTCTAGCCCGGGTGACAGAGTGAGACCCCGATTCAAAAAATTTTAAAAATAAAAATACCAAGCTATTCAGCTGCCTGAAAAAATAATTGCTCTGCTAGAACTCTTCTATCTTCGAAGGCACACTTCTTCCTGGCTGAGACACGGGGCACAGGTAAGCCTTCGACTGAAGATCCTGCCTGGGGTTCATCACTTGCCCTGACTGACCTCCTCGCCCTCAAGAGGACCACCATCCACGGCCCTGCCTCTGAGCAAACACATTCTCTCACCGGCAGGACGTGCCCTGAGAAGCCAACTTCCAAGCTCAAGGTCACGCAGCTACCAAATGACAGTCTATCCTGTGGCAGCAGGTGTTAAGAAGCTGGGGGGGTGCGTACAGCAGGTGGCCCAAGACAATGACCAATTGCTAATCGTTATTGATCACATTCAATGTTCCAGGCACTGTGCTGAGTCTACTGTGTTCATCTCACCTAGATCTTTCCAGAACCCTGGGGCTGGGTGGGGGTGGGGAGAGACAGGTGGTGAACACTATTTTGAGTTCCATTCTACACACACGGTCACCAAGGCTCAGCATAGTTCAGCAGCTTGCCCGGTCACACAGTCAGGTCAGCCCATTCAGGACTGGGCTCACTCCAAAGCCCCCAAACTCACGCCAAGTGTTTCTTCAAGGAGAATGGAGCCCGTGCTCCCCTGCCTGTCACCATCACCGTCATCACAGGGCTCAACCCCGGCTGCACGTCAGAATCCAGGTGGAGGCCTCAAGACAGAGAGGTGGCCAGGCCCCATGTAAAGACCCCAGGCCAAGGAAAACCTGAGCTTCAAGGGGGCTGAGGTCCGTCCCACCAGGTGGCTTTCGACATGAAGCCAGGCTACAGAAACACGGAACTGCGTGGAATAGGCTTGGCGGTGGCCCAGCCCCACCAGGAGGACACGCATCTGAGGTCCCTGGAGCATCCTCCCTGCTTCTGCCCGTGAGGGCAGTGCCTGGTCTGTGCCTGGCCCTCTCACACTCCCTGCCAGGCAAGCAAAGAAAAGAGAAGGAGAAAAGAAGGGAAGTCCTACACAGGCCCTGGCCTGCACAATTCCCAGGAGCTTGGAAGAAGGAACAGCCCTGCCCTTTCTTAAAAGACAGCATTAGAGTGAACGCCCTCTTTCATAGCAAATGCCTCGCACACTCTGAAAATAGAGCGCCCACCACGGCATCAAATGGCGTTTTAAATTTTTAAGCAGTAATACTGTGGCGTGCACAGGCAGGAAGGTAAAGTTCCGAAGCCTGTATTCCCAGGGGCCCAGAGAGCTTTCTGGAATCCATTTCCCAACCATCTTCCCTCCCACCACTGCCTCCCCACCAAGGCTCAGGGTCCTGCAGCACGGAGGTCCCCTCTGAGTGCTCCGGCCCCCCCCCCCGCCCCTGCGCCATTCTGAATAATTAAAGTCTCAATTAAGCTCTAGTCTAGTTTGGTGTTAATAAATGTTTGTGGAATCTGTTACATGCATTTTACTCTAATTCTTTTAAAAGAATTTACTCAGATGGCTAAAGGTAGCAGGAAAATAAAACACTGTTCCTTCGAGGCCGGCATGCTCTACGAGGGTGGACCCAAAAGAAGCCGGAATTTATTTATAAAAAATTGTGTATTTGTTCTTATATGTTTAAACCTCAGTCACCTTCAAAGGGCACTTCGTTGGATGCAATACACCTATTGAGACGCTCTTTCCATGGCTCAAAACGGTTTTTGAGCAAATCCATTTGGATGCCTTTTAGGCCTTCTGCTGTTTTTTGTTTCACCTCTTCCACATTAGCAAGACATTTCCCTTTGAGGACTTTTTTCATCAAAAAAAAGTTGCTCAGGGTGAGACTGTGTGACTAGGGAGGGTGGGGTATGGGGATCAGGCCAGTTTTAGTCAAAAATTGCTGAACACTCAGTACAGTGTGGGCAGGTGTGCTCATAAACCACCCATCATGAAACAGCAAATGCGCTGAAAGAATCTCCAAAAAAAATTCACTGAAGCCGAAGGCCACCTCTCACCACCAGGCCAGCTAGTCCACTGATGCGGATGGGTTCCTAGAACACTCGCCTAGCGGGGGAAGCCTGTACTACAAGGGGTCTGACCTCCGAAAGATAATTCCGGTTGTTTTGGGTCCCCCCCCACATAAAGCAGGCTGGCTCTATGAACTCTGGATTCCACGAGGTTTCCTTTCTGTCCAAGGAAACAAGGGTCCCATGGCCCTTCCAGAGGGGCCGGCAGGAACTTCACAGCCTTCAGAGCTGGGAGGGTCTTCCAAGAGCTCTAGCGCCCCCTCTCCCTTGACAGTTGCGGAAACTGAGTCCCGAGTTGCTGGAGGGTTTGCAGATGAGCTGGGCTGGAACCCAAGACCCCCACCAGGGTGATGCTCCCCCCTCCACCTCCCCAGCAAGGAGGATGGCAACAGGACTGTTTATGGTCATGGCCTGGGGCCTGTCCCTGAGTCACAGAGACCTCCCCACCCCCACCCCTCACAGCCTTCCTCTCATACTCCTAAGGTGATGCCCACTTTGGTAAGTCCAAGGCCAACCTGCAGGGAGAGTCATGGTTTTACTGCTGATCTGTGTGCGTGTGTGTACACGGTGAGACCCCGTTCTCTCAGGGTGGGAAGGGTCCCTGCCCACAGACGCTGTATATAAACACTCCTTTGCCAGCGGAACAGAAGGATCCATCCCTTTCTCTTTGTTCTTTTAGTAACTCCCGGGGGAACCCCAGCACTTAGGTTCACCACAGAATACAGAGTCCTTGGGCGGAATGTGCTGGAAGGTCAGTGTGCTGTGCAGGTCAGGAGAAGGCACCTCGGCCTGAGTGGGGAGCGGAGGAGGCCAACCCAGGTGGGCGGTTCGGCTTGGGGCTACTCAGGACCCAAATTTCCCCTTCCTGAAATGGAGTGAAAAAAAATCTCACCAACTTCGGATGATGCTTATGAAGATTAAGTGAAAGAATGGATTCAAAATGTGTATGTGTAGGCTGGGCATGGTGGCCCATGGCTGTAATCCTAGGACTTTGGGAGGCCAAGGCGGGAGAACTGCTTGAGCCCAGGAGTTTGAGACCAGCCTGGGCAACAGAGCAAGAGCAAGAACTTGACTCTAAAAACTGTGAATGTGAGCTACACACTGACTCTAAAAACTGAATGTGAGCTACACACTGCTGTTCCCAAGGGGGTGACCACGTGGCCTGACTTTGCACCAGGAAGGCCTCCATGGTGGTGAGCGCCCATCTGGCCACCAGCCAGGTCCAATCACTCAGGGACAGGGCAAAGATCCCATCACATAAATCCCACAGGGCCATGTGTTCCTGGGTCCCACAGGACCTTCCTGGGTGGCTTTCCGGTGAGAGTTCTGCACCCTCTGCACTATAGATAACAAGCATCCTGTCTCGCTGCACCCGTGACTTCTCAGCAGAGCCCACCGCGAACAGGAGGCAGGTCTGTTCACCTTCGGGCTGGCCACCCTTTGGAGTCTCAATCCACTGTCCATCCACCCATCCACTGTCCACCAATTCATTCATTCACAAATATTTTGAGTGAGGACACGTCAGAGAGATCTGAGAGGGATGCTGCAAGCTGGCCAAGCCTTGGTGCTGGTGTAGCCCACATGTGTACACACACACACACACACATACCCGCACCCTGCACAGATGCAGACTCACCTTCTCCAGGAGCTGCCTCAGCTGTTTTGTGCGAGCATCCCGTGAGCACATGGTCTGCTGTGGGGCGACCACTGTGCAGATACACCTGCCCTCGCTGTCCTGGGCAGAGCTGTACACCTGCCAGCTCTCCTCAGGATTGGTGGGCAACACCTGGAGGAGGTGGGGAGGGAGAGAAAGCGAGACTGTGAGGTTGTGCATCGGATACAGCAGCCAGGGGCGGGGTCCACAGCCAAACCCCGGGGGACAGGCACAAGGAAATGGTTCAGAGTCATGTTCTGACTCAGAGGCAAAAAAGGGATCCCCGGGGACAAGGAGGGTGGGTCTCCCGCGAGTGTGCCCACGCCTGGGAGGAAGTCGAAGAGGCACATCTCTTTACATGTTTTTTCTAAAAAATCCAAGTTCAGCCCAAGGGATGTTTGGAGTTTTGGCATCTGGCCAAATCGCTGTGTTGGGGAGAAGAGAGGGGGGCCAGAGGCCACGAGCCGGATGGAAAGCCGGTGGCTGGGTGACTCACAGCAGGCATGTAATTCAGAATAAGACATCCCCCCCCAACCCCCGAAAGGCAGGCAGGGGGGCTGGCACGGCAGAGCCTCCCTCTGCAGGTCCCTGACACTCGGAGATGAAGCACCCGCGGTAACTGCCCGGGCTCCAGCAGCCCAGAGCTGTGGTGCCTGAGGCCACAGTCACCCTCCTGCCGACAGCCTGGCAGACACCAGGCTTCCAACTCCACACCGGTTCCCACCCACGAGCCATTTGGTGGATGTCGCCAAAGTGCCAGTGTCATGTGCAGGGGTCACCCTCAACCTCAGTCCTGAGGTGTGCACAAAGACCACCAAGAACCAGCACTGGGCACGGCTGGTCTCACCTTGGCATCTTGGGTGGTCCTGACCGCCAGGTGCACCGGCCAACGCTCCAGAACACACCCCCTCCCCCCGGCCGCCCCCTGCAGCCTGCGCGCACATTGCCTCCAGCCATGGTCCCCTCCGGTGGCATCAGGTCACCTCCCTATTTTTAGCACAGGGACGGGGAGCAGAAGATGGGCGGGGAGAATCCATAGTAGCGATATATTTAGGTATATTTAATTTCATTCATTTCCAACCCCAGACGCTCAGGACCCAGGGGCGGGGAACCAAGTCATTATGGAGGAAACGCCGTGCGGTTCCTGGAAGGGCAGGGGAGGTAATAAGGTTCTTAGGACGGGGTCGCAGCACGGGGCCGTCGGCCGCAAAAAGGGAGCCGGAGAGGAGACCCTGTCCTTCACCTCCCCTTTCAGCTTGGAGGAAGCGGGCCGGGCGCGCCTTCGCCCGGGGGCAGCCCCTCCCAGGCGGTGGGAGGCTCGGCTCGGCCGGTTCCGGCCGCCGAAGTCAGCCTGGCCCCGCGGCCCTGGCCCCTGCTCACCGGGCCCCTTCCCCCACC